TCTGTAAAAATTCATTCAAATGTTATCAAATTCCACATTCTCGCTTAAAAATACTTAGACCATCTTCAATATATTTCTTTATTTTTAATCTCTAAAATAGAAAAAATTATAACATTCCTCTATTTCTTCTCCAATCTATCTATATTTTAGAGGAATTGAAAAAAGTAGCAATTGAATGCTATAATTTTTTCTATTTTAGAGGTAGAAATAGAGATGAGTTAAAAGTAGATTTTACTCTAAAATAGAGTTTAAGGAAAAATATAGAGGTGGATTGGAAATGACCTTATAATCCAATGGTTTTGCATAAATGCAGCTTCGGATCTTGTGATCATACTTGAACTTCTTAATCTATAATCCTGCTTTTGATTAACAATTATGGGTAGAGACGATTAATAAAGATTCTATCACATCCTCAAACAACAAGTACTTCCATCATCTCACAGAAGACAAACGCTTGTAACAGTGCTAATGTTGTAGTCATATCTATTGTCACTATTGATTACTTTTCCTCTTTTATTTACTTTGATGCTATTGGTAAACTCTTGTCATCTTCGGCGTGCAGCAGCGGCGGCTCGAAGGTCAGTTTGAATGCGGTATGCGTACATTGGGAGACGGATGATCTTTCTTATTTCCTCAAGGATCACTTCCTCTGTGATGTTGTCCGTTATGCTTTTTATCACCTGATTAATTTCACACACAAGGAAACAAATCAACATTTTATGCCAAAGTCTTTTTGAAATCAGATAGAATATATACAAGTACGTTTTAATACACTGACCTTGCAAGCGATACCGATATCGTTTGGTGTATCTTTATCAACACTGATCCGCATGTAAACCCAAACTTGCTTCTCCTTATCCCATGCACACTCTATAATCTTCCCATTGTAAGTGGCCAGGTTCGAGTCATTATCTCTAAACTCAACCGAATAGCCTACTATAAGCTTTTTCTTTCCTCTTTCATTCAAGAAGAGCTTTCCTCGCCCATCGTTCTCATCCATCTCGAACAGAAAGTCAACCGAGTTCATTTCTGGATACTTCCACTTCAGTAGACCTTCATGGGTTCGTGGAACATAAGGATCGTCCCAACCCTGAAATATTAGACCGTCGGATTCATGCGAAAGTGATGGAATGAAAAACTTCAAAAGCTTCTCAGCAGTAGAGAGTAGCCAAAAACCCTTGGCCCGTATCTGCGTAGTTATTAACACAAAAATTTTAGTTTTATACAAAATATTTAAAAAAAAAAAATTAATATGGCATGAGACCGAAAATGTAACTCACTCCAAAAGGCTCCAGGTCGTATCTGTAGCTATTACTTCTACTTGTCCACGGGTCAGCATCACGGGGCCCGATCACCTCTTTCACGATCATGTTCCATCTTTCACAGAAAGTCCGCTCTACGATTGATTCACCGTTGATTGCTACCATATCATATACGAGGTACCTCCTCCTGGCCTGACTTTTTTCATCTTTGGGATTATCAATAATCATTTCTCCATCAAGCAAAGTGTAATGATGCACTTCACTCGAGCTCTTCCTACAAGGAAAACGCATCTGTACCCTTCGAAACCTAAAGCTCTTCCTATCTATCAGATAGGACCCATCTCTAGTTAAGAGCATCATATAACGTGTACCATCTGCCTTCCATGTAGCATAATAGTACTGCTGTCTCAAAAGTTGCAAACTCTCCCTGTAGTAAATACAAAAGTGTAAGATTTAACAACATAGACTTGCTAAATCTTCTACGTAAAATAAAGCAGAGAGTCAGACCTGTCTATAGATACAGGGTGAGAACCTGGGAAGAATTGCCCACACCTTGTTCCCTGGATCACAGAAAATTTAATCAACTTAGTAATTAAGAGACGCTTACTATTGCATTAGTCTCAACAAACGTATTGCATGGAAAAGAAATTGACTAAGCATAATAATATGAGCATCCGTATTGGTAAATTTTGGTGGGTATCATTAAATATAAAATTATTAAAATTTGAGTAAAAGGAAGAAAGAGAGTGTTTTTGGTTGAAATAATGGGGTGTATTGAAATATAAAATTAACTAGGATTTCACCCGCACTATGTGCGGGAATATTCGTTGTATATGTTGTAAACTATATTTGGCTTTCGTATTATGTCGTATATAATATGTCCTAACTTTAGATATATATGTTTTTAGCATGTAGGTGGAATTGATTTGTATGAAATAATATGATGGTTTTTGTTTCTAGGTTGTAGGTAGAAATAGAGTAATTTGAAGTATTGTATATATTGAATAGTTATTAGTGGGAGTATAAAT